AGTAGATGTAAGATAAATGTTATTATCTTCACACCATAAAAAATGATGTGGAAAAAGTATGAAGTATGACCCAAAAAAGTTAATAGTGCTTACTTCCCTGACTAGTGATGAGTGACTTTTGAATTCTTCCTGCTTCTTTGAATTTTCTAATATTTCTAAAATGAGCATTCATTATTTATTTAACTAAGTGCTTTAAGAATAATAAATAAATAAGAGCTATGTAGCAATTGAAAACAAATTGGACTTTTCCTTTCCAAGGACACAGATACAAAAATTGAATAGTATCACAGGACTTCAGATTCAACAGCTCTTACTTGGTTATTAATAGATTATAATTTCTTTATGCCATGATGCTTTGTTAGATATAAATTTCAGAGGCCTAATTAAGACTACAACATTTGTTGTCACTTTTTAATTTCATTCACTCAAAACACCGACTTTTTATATTTCTCCTGCAATTAAGCTATGTGCCACCAGGTGACAGTAGTGTTTCAGTTGCAGTGGATTTATTTGCGTAGTAAGGAATTGACTACCAGACAGTGTACTAGGAGCTGGGTTATTTACATTTATATTTTATTTATATTTCTTATAAACCAAAATTTTTAAAGAAAACTAAAAATATAAAGGTCAAAGAGAAACAATTTCATAAAGTCAAAGACAGCCTAGTCATTCTAACACTTAGGGTTACATAAATACACGAATACTTAAGAGTTACATAAAGTTATAAAACTAGTTGGTCTTTCTATTTTTTTTCTTTCTTTTTTTTTTTTGGTCTCTCTATCTAGTATTCTTAATCAGTTAGCAAACTATGGACTGGACTGCTTCCTATGACTATCTTAAAATGTCATTTCCATGTGACTAAATAAAATAAGAAAAGCTATGTTTTGTTAAGCTCTTCCTAATTGCAGGATTTTTTAAATCCAAGTGTTAAATCCAGAGTTTTAGAGCTTTGAGATTTATCCAAACCTCCCAAATTACAACTGGAGAAAGTGGCATATCAAGAGCAAGGTGTTTTGCCCAAGATCCCTTGAAGATGCAGAACCAGACACAAGTTATGTAGGACTCTTGACAAACACACTTGAACAGGCACACATGTTGACTTGTGAAATCTGTGGTCACTTCAGAAGGTCAGGCTCACAAAGCCAGTTCTTTACAGACCAAGTAGTTCCTCTTAGTCATGATGTTTGCAGCTCAGATAGGTTCAAGGGTAAAGCCTCCATAGTAGCTGTTAGAGACCTCACTGTGGCTTTTTCCAATGGAGAATATAATGACAACATACATGGTGATCGAAAAATCCAGTGAATGTTTAATGTTTAAAAACTTTATCACAGTGAAATACATTGCCATTAATCCCTCTCAAAATACTCCCTCTTGCTTCAATCACACTTAGAACAATGGTTCTTGCTACTTTCTGACGCAGTTCTGAAAGTCCTCTTTTGTGTCTTTTTTTTCAGAGGCACAGGAAGGGTTTATTGGGCAGAAATTTAAGGGCACACTCTAGAGTGGGGTGTGGGTGTTCAGAGAAATGAGACACTTCCTGAGCATCATTAGTTGTGCTGTCCTGGCTGCCTCCATGTCCTGAGTTGACTCAAAACATTTACCTCTAGTGGTCATTTTGACTTGGGGGAAGAGCCCCAAGCCTTGGTGCCAGATCCAGTGAATAAGATGGAAGAGGACACAGAGTCATGTTCTTATGAGCTGCCTTTCCATGGATAACACTCAGCAGTGGCATTCACGGTATATTTTAATCATCCCTTGTATGTTATCATTCAACTACAAAATAAGTGCATTTGCTAAATGTATAACTAATATGAATATTTAAGTAACCCACACAAGGGTAGAATGAAAGTAATCAGGTCCATTGTAGAGACCTCACAACCACTTAGCTCACTGTTGGAGCTGCTATGCAGCTCTGTGCTGGAGCCAAGTTTTCCATTTAGCTAGCTGCTTCTGGTTATTGCAGGGAAGATGTTCCAGGCAGTTCCACCCCTTCCCCACCCGTGTGTGTGTGTGTGTGTGTGTGTGTGTGTGTGTGTGTGTGTTGCTAGGAATGGAAGCCAGGGCCTCATGTCTGTCTGGCAAGGTCTCTACCTCTGGGCCACCCATCGGCCCCACAGCCCTTCTCCAGTTTCTCAACCCTTTAGTTTCTAGCAGTTCCTTTTCCAAATGAGCAAGTATGCATTCTGAAACCCACAGCTATGTTGTATCGTCACTCTTGGGATCCATAGCTCCTATGCATTTCTTCCAGAAACTCATGAAAAAGAAGAAAATGGAAAATATCAGTGTGAATGTTCATCTCTCGGATCAGGAGAGAGATTTTCCAACCTTCTTGCTGTCACCTTCAACCCTTCCTAGTCAGCAACTCGTCTCTAGCGACAAGCATTTCTTTTCTTTTCTTTTTTTTTTTTTTTTGGTTCCAGGGATCGAACTCAAGACCTTGCACTTTCAAGGCAGGTGGTGGAACCACTGAGTTAAATCCCCAGCCCCTAAGCATTTCTTTCAAATGCTTCTGTTGGAATTTGCAGTCCCACTGGTTCTAGCAGAGAACAGCCTTAACTTTTTCTTTTTCTTTGCACTACTAGGGATGGAACCCAGGGCCTTCACACTGAGCTGCGTCCCCAGCCATTTTTGTTTTTCCTTTTGAGACAAAGTCTCACTAAATTGCTAATCTGCCCAGGCTGAACTTGAACTTGCAATCCTCCTGGGAGCCTCAGCCTCCCGGACTGCTGGGATTAGACTGTGCCACCACACCAAGATGGCTTTAACTTTTCCATGTATCATTCATTATCTTTGCTTTCTACAAGTTGAATGTTATATCCTCAGACTTGGATGGGGGAGTCTTCTTTGTGTATTTTGCATTTAGAATAGTTTATGTACACATGACAAAAAAATTAGATAACTATTAAGTTCAGAGCTGTAGATGACTTTCTAAGGTTAAAAGTAATTTTTAAAAAGAGGCTGAGGGTATGGCTCAGTGGTAAAGCACATACTTACCATGCACAGAATTTGGGGTTCCATTCCCCAACACCACAAAAATAATAACAATAATAGTAATAAAAGAAAACAATGGGGCCGAGGGGTGTAGCTCCTGGAAGACTGCTTGCCTAGCATGCTCCATGCCCTGGGTTAGATCCCTAACAGGGGGGAAAACAAGATTGAAAAGCTGAACTCATCAAATGTTTAAATTTCTTGGTACCAAAAACATGTATGTAGTTTTGAAATAACAAACAATCATTTGAGGGAAATACTAAAGCAAATACTATGGACTAAAGATTAAATGAACTCGTACAAAGGAGTCAGATAAACCAGGTGTGGTGGTGCATACCTGAAATCCCAGCACTCCCAAGGCTGAGGAGGATCACTGTGAGTCTGAGGCCAGCCTGGGCTACTTAGTGAGTTCAAGGCCAGCCTTAACTATATAGTGAGACCCTGTCTCACGAAAGAAAGAAAGAAAGAAAGAGGAAAAAAAGGAGTCAAATAAAAAACAAGTCTAAAATTCTACTATACAATACACAAAGAATACAAATAGTGCACACACAATTGAGTGATAAACATTTGTAGAATGATCAACTTCACTAAAATTAATAAGCAAATTAACTGAGAATTAAAACTGCAAATACAGTACATGACACTTTGCCTACTCCCCAATTTAGCAAAGATGTATTAAAATGTGAATGTCCTAAACTGACACAAGAGTGGCGAAATGTATCCTTTCTTATACTCCTGGTGCTAGAAAGAAAAATTAGTACAAAGTTTTCTAAAAGCATTTTCACAATGTATCTAGCGGGGCTTTAAAATAGTCTACTTTTTCACCCTGTTATTCTAGTCTTAGTAGCCTATACTGAACGTGCACAAATATTTTGACATTAAGTTAAGCAATGCAGCCACTGCCTGCCTCGCAAGCTCAAGGTCCTGAGTTCCATCCCTGGTACCAAAAAAAAAAAAAA